ATAAAAATTACCATAGAAGTGTTTTAAAATATAAACTAAAAATACCTGTGAAATCCATGTGGCTCCAACCATGGAGATCCTTGCTCATTAACTACCTTTAGGATTCACTATGATGATATTAAACAAATTCCATCACATTCTTTCACCACATGTTTCTTGACATGATTAAGTAACTAGTACCAAGTACTATTTGATTCATTAACTACCTTTATGGATTTAGTTCATTGAATTGTATTCCACATTGAACCTTGATTGCTTTATTCAGAGACTTGTTGTGAGTTATACATTCTTTCCCATCATAATTTTTTCCATCCCAATAACATAACAATGTAATGGATTTTGATGTCATATTGATGAAAATCTATGAAGAAACCAAAATCAAAATTTCAAATAAGAAATACTCTGATATAGAAATCATATAGCATTTATTATAAAACCTTAATGATATATATATATATATATATATATATATATATATATATATATATATATATATATATATATATATATAAAAGAGAGAGAAAAGTTAATGAAATCACACGATTATATGATGATTATTTAATGGCATGATGTTAATGATATTGAGTTAGTAAGCCAAAAAAGGGACAATCAGAGGAATTTATTGGGACTCAAACACAATTAGTATACAAAACAAAGCTTTTGACGAAAAGAAACAATATGCAATTCCACTCAAGCAATTAATATTGAAAGAAACATTCACCGTTGACTAAAAGAATCTAAAGCAATAAGAATGAAGTAATGTTAAACCAATTAACCAATAAATCAACGATTTGAAAAGCTATATAGGAAAAACTTCCGACGATTAAAGATGGGGCTATATGCGGTTCTAATCATAAGGACTAAGGAGGCTGCTGCAAGACGACCAAGAAGAGAACGTGTTAGCGATAATTCTTACGTTTCCTAGAAAAATAGGGTTTTTTAATTTTTAATAAAACTAAAATTACTTTGTAATTATGTTTTAAACTACCCCATTTAAGTAAATATTTTTTCAAAATATTACGGTTATGTAAAAAACTCTGTAAAGGGTATTTAAATCATTTAAAGAAGATTTAATTATAGAAAATTTTGAATTTTAGGGGATAATTAATTCTTTTAATTTAAAATTTATAGCTTCTAAAAACTAATTCATTTTTTAAATGTTTGTATATATTAATTACAAAATTATAATGTTTTCCTTTTCTTTCCCATTCATTGAATTCTTTTAGAATATTATTAATTTATACTTTAAGAATTGGTGGATTTCACATATTTTTGCTCTTTTCTTTTTAATTTTAATTTATTGATTCATACGGATTTTAGTTTGTCATTGGTTTATTAAAAAATTGTATAATTCCGATTTCATAATTATAATAATTATAATCCCTTATGCATATAATTCTTTAAGAATAAGTGGCTATAATCTAATATATTACATTCTTTCAGAATCGGTAAACGTTTTGACTAATATATAATGATAAGCTCATACTTACTTGATTATAAGAATCATATAATCAAAATGAAAAAAAAAAATATTTTCTTTAGAATGTAAACCATCTACATTTAAAAAAAAAAAAAAAAACATAGTACTAAAATATATTCTTTCAGAATATACAGGAATCAAGAATGGATCAATAAAATAGATCTATATTCTTCAAGAATAAGGTATTATTCTTTAAGAATTGATCAAACCTTTTATTGTAGATATAATGTTGTGATGAATGGATGCGATTTTTTCATTTGTTCTTGTTTCTTTAATTTTGACATTGTTGATCTTTCACCTCGTGAAACTGTCAATCTTGCAATCAAAAAATTGAAAAAAAAACATCAAATTAATAATTGTTAACCGGAACTAAAAAGCATTTAATTTCATAAGAGAAAAGAAAGTTGAAGAATGACAACTTGAATTAAAACAATCAAACTTGTTATGAAAAATCTACAAGTCTCTGTAAACCTTTCCTAGTCTTGCATGATATTAGCAGTTTAATGTCGACAACTAGAACTAAAACATTCAAACAATCAATATTAATTCAAGATTAACGAAGAAAGTTGAAGAGGAACCAAAATTTTTTTTCTTTTCTTGTCTGTTTTTGTCGAGCAAAAATAAAACAAAGCACAACTTTTTTTTATATCAATACCAAAAATAAAAGCCCAAAAAAAAGAATTAAATAGTTTTTTCTTATTGTGTTGACGTGAAGAACAAGAGCCAAAAAAAAATCATTTTAGATCATACCTATGTTTATGGCATCCAAGATGAAGTTTTAAGATCAAATGTTGGAGTAAAATTACCTCTTACTAATCCAAAAGTAATGGAGCTTTGTGAAAAGTGTATCTCCCGCCGACAAAAAAAAAATACAATATTTGTTCGTGAAGAATAGTTTGGTTGAGTAATAATATAATATATACAAAACTTTCTATTGGAATCGAGCCTTTTGATTAGGGCATTGAACCAAGATGATGAATATTAGTAGAAACTGCAACAAAAACGAACAGAAAATGTTACTTGGATGATGATGACGGTCATTGTTTTTTGTAGGGTTTATAAACTAATTTTCCTAATTTAAAGGAAATTAAATGTTTTTATTATTTACCATAATTAAATATAGATAAGATTAATTATATGCCCTGTATAATTTATTATTTACTAGGTGTAAGATCCATGTATTACACGAGTTTATTAAAAATAAAAAATATAATATCAATATTTAAACATTAAATTTAATATCAATATCAATTTTAGAGCTCTCATTAATTATGTTATTTATTACATTATAAATATATCATTTCTTTTTCAAAGAAACATTTATTTCTTTCAATTATAACCGAAATAAGTTATGATATGTGAACAAATCAGAAAATTCCATGTGGAAATAAATAAATTCTAAAAATCTATTAAAATGTCATGTGTCCAAATTAATGAGGACATGACATGTGGCAGAAAATAAGTTTTATTTATTAGAATAGATTTTTTTTTATTTTTTTTAGTTAATTCAAGTTTCAAAAATAATATTTAAAAAAAGAATTTTTTGATTTTTCCATTTATTTTGCATTTTAAAATTATTTTTAGATTTGCTCTCATTGTCTCACAAAATTAGAATTATCTTAAATGAACATATATATATATATATATATATATATATATATATATATATATATATATATATATATATATATATATATATATATATATATATATATATATGTTCAGGTTCATTTGAGATCATTCTAATTTTGTGAGACCGTGACATCAAATCTAAAAATAATTTTAAAATGCAAAATAAATGGAAAAATCTAAAAATTCTTTTTTTAAATATTATTTTCGGAACTTGAATTAATTAAAAAAAATAAAAATAAATAAAAAAATCCTTTTTTTTTTTTTTTGAAAAATACGTGAAATATTCTAAATAGAATATTACACTAACATATTCTAAAAAATAATTTTAAAATGCAAAATAAATGGAATATAAAAATTCTTTTTTTAAATATTATTTTCGGAACTTGAATTAACTAAATAAAATAAAATAAAATAAAATAAAATCCTATTTTTTTTGAAAAATATGTGAAATATTCTAAATAGAATATTACACTGTACATATTCTAAAAATAATTTTAAAATGGAAAATATATAGAAAAATCAAAAAATTCTTTTTTTAAATATTATTTTCGGAACTTGATTTAACTAAAAAAAATAAAAAATAATAAAAAAAATGTGTCTCACGGTCTCACAAAATTAGGCCGTCTCACATATATATATATATATATATATATATATATATATATATATATATATATATATAACAATTTATTGTTAATTATAACTAGTGTAGGATCCCATGCCCTGCATTGGTTAGATGAGTGTTTATTTTTCTGATGAATGTGTATGTTTGGATGAATTGAAATGATAGAATGGATGGTAAGATTGGAAAATCTTAGTACAGATAACATAGTATTCCATTAGAGAAGGCATACAAAAGATGTTAGTTACATACATAATATCGAAGTGTACCTATATTAAAAAACAAACAATCACAACTAATTGCTAAAAAAAGATAAAAATACGAACAACTATGTAGTCAAAAGTGCTAGTCTTAGGATCGGTCTTGGGCAAACAATTTCTTTTAAAAGTGAATAATTCTTTTGTTTGGCTATCTATTCAAAATATATACATTGTATGTGAAAGAAAATTAAATATGTTTACATGTAGCATATTTACTTGTATATCTTAATTTGATTAAAAATGGTCATGATAGGAAGAGAAAACATTGTAGATTAAATGGTCCCTTTGAAAAAAAATTATTACATAAAAGATCCTTATAGCAGGAAACTGTTTGAAAGATAGCCCCTGTGACAGGAAAAACATGACAAAAATGATCCTTTTTATGAAATTGTTGCAAAAATGGTCCTATTGGCAGGAAACAATTAAAGATGACATCAAAACAGTTTCACCATAAACGATGATTGAGTTAGACACCATTGACACACTACTTAATCAGTTTTTCTCAGATTGATAGATATTGTGATAATCAATTTAGATTTTTCAATTTTGTCACTTGCAACCAATATGTTTTTCTTGTAAATATCAGTTTTACTCCTATATGTTGGTTTTAGTTTCTAGCTACAATCATAAAATCATCTTTTGTTCACTAATTTGTGGTGTATAAAAGACATAAGGATAAAATGGTTATTTCAATAAAATTTACAGCAAGACAGTTAAATCTAAAGATACATCAAGCTTTCCATCCTAATCTTGGGGGCATTATTTCAGATGGTAATTGGATTTTTCCTCTTTCACAAAATCAGTACAAATGAAAAGTAATGCACAACAAAAGATATGCATATCTTCTTAATATCTATAATTTCAACACTCCCAAATCCTAATCACCTATAAACTTTATATATATATATATATATATATATATATATATATATATATATATATATATATATATATATATTAAACTCATTCAACTTTTTTCATAAAAAAGAAGTATTCGACTTACATTTCACTTGCATACCTCAAAATAGTTGACATAGTAACTTCCATTACACTTCATGTGCTGCCTTAGTTGTAACCTGATAGAGTTCACCTAATTAATTATTCCAAAATTATAAAGATATAATGCAAATGAACAAAAAAAAAACTATTTACTTTTACTTTTTTTTTTTATTATTATTATAGCAGTTTGTAAAAACAAATACACATTAGACTATGACCTTGCTGTCCTCGCCAGGAGCTTGACAAGTGCTCCATCCATCATAATTCCATGTTGGCAGCTTCTTGGGATCAGCTACAGGTTTACAAAGTGTCTAACAGAAGAAAATCATCGTAAAATTGCTTAAATGATGATAAAAAGATGGATTTAATGAAGAAAACACAAAGAAATCGACGTTTCAAACTACTTATTGTTGCTTTGCTTCGAAGATCCATACCAAATCCCCGGATCCTATAAGAGATTTCAAGAAATTTAGGATGTGTTTGGATATAATAATGTTTTTTCTTATGATGTTGAATCCAAAATTAAACAAAAAGTTTAAGATTATCATACCAAAAATTGTGGAAATTACTAATTTATGTGCTTTTTGATGGTTGATCAAAAAGTTAACCTTTCAGTTTCAAGATAGTTTATAAGATCAGGTATGAAAAAAAATGCCCATAACCCATATTGTGATGTTTTGATCCATTCCATAATGGAAAAATAAAAACAACCCAAACTTTACCTCTTATAACTTAAAACTATACTTTAACATGGAAATATAATTATGAGGCATAATTGACCTTTAATTATGATATAGCTATAGCATAAGTGACCCTCAAATATAAACCCAGTCTAAAGTGACAATTATGTCTTTAAGTATATGTGTATTGCAGCAATTGAAAAAATAACCACATGGGAATGTTTTATTTTAACAGAAAAGATGGTGTAAACAAACCTTACCAGAGCTTGGAAAATCAATATTACTTCCATTCTCCAACAAATAAGTGAAATTAAAATCATATTGTTGTGCAGGTGATCGAAAACAGAACATACATCTCTAACCACTATCACCAAAGTTGATAGCATCAAGACCCTACAAAAAAACAATCATAATAACTTAACAACAATATTAATCACAATTGATTAATTAATTATTGCAAACTCAATCATTACTACCTGATTTGTGAGTGCAATAATGCAAGTAGTTGAGGATCTTTTAGCTTTAATGTTGTGTAAGCTTTCTCCAAAACCCTAGCAAGAGCAGCCCACCCACCTACCCCATCTGCCTCCCATATCGCTTGTTCATTAGGAGAAACGAAATGTGCATCTTCACTACCTGCCTCCTCCTTCTCAGGGTGCGGTAGATAACATGATTCAGAAACCAGTTTCAATGATCTATCCAATAACGCCTTTCTGTAATTATGAGATTATTTTACCTTCATATTTTTAGAAATGTAAGAAAAAAGAAAAAAGAAACATTACCCATCACTATTGGAAGAAGATGTAAGCCAATCATCACGTAGAGAGTTGTCTGAGAACACATCAGGGGCAGTTTCGGCATTTAGGAAAGTTGGAGATGAGATGTGGAAGCTTTTCCAGTCAATACCAAGAAACGGGTTGTTGCAGTTGGAATTTGTTTTGGCAACATGGTAGATGAAGTATCCATAAAGAGAGAAGCTTTCTGATTCTTTATTGTTTCTTGAATTCATCGTGATCTTGTGAGTGACAGAGGAATAGAAGCATCAGGAAGGAGAGGGTGCAACAGTGAGGCGCTAGGAAGAGAACGGTGAATGTCTAGTGGATATGGTTTACAAGAATCGGAAAGAAATACTCCCATATCAAAAACAACACATGCCCTGAATCACAGAAAAACTTAGCCTTGAAACACATAACCTATGCGATGGCGGCTTCTCTCATGTCACCCTCCTCCATTCTTCTTTAATCTAAATTGGTCGAGTTGACCAGAGACGTAAAATCGAAACCAGAGTTGAAAATCATTCAAGTGACCAAAGAAAACCCAAATGAGATCGGTAGAGCCCTATAATAGAGAAAGAGTAGCAGATGGAACAATCATTTTTCCTCAATCGGAAGACTATTGTGTCGAAGCCACCATCGTGACCAGTGCAACGAAGAAGCGAGGGTGAGACGAGAAGATGAATCGAGCCCGCGGTGTAGGTCAATCGATTGGTAGTAGTGATGGTCACGACTAAGGAGAATGTTGGGATCCCCAAAAATTTGAACCGATAATGAAAAAATGACGATGGAATTCAAGCCAGATAGATAAAAGAGGGGAAGATTAGTGGAAAGGATATGAGGCGGTGGAAGATTAGTGGAAAGTATCCATTGGTGAAGAAGGAGGCAAGCCGATGACTATTCAAAATAAGCCACAGCATGAAATCCAATACCAGTCATCACAAGCCAAACCTCAAAACCACCGGCTCCAAACTGGGACCGTAGACAAGCCCCTTGAGATTTAATTATATATATAATATAATATAATATAATAGGTAGTTGTTGGATAAAAATATTTTTTATGTTTTAAAATGTGTTTAGTATGACTAATGATTCCATTCGTTTTTACAATCAATGATCTTATAAAAAGAAAAAGCAATAATATATAAAATCTGGATCTTAACAAATATTGAGTATAACATTTATTATAAGGGATCATAAACCACTGGATAACAAAAGAAAAATAACTAAGATAAAGACTCATTAATTAATTAATTAATCAATCACTCAATCTCAATCTTAATACCACCAATTGTGACATGAACATTGTCACACCTTGGCACCAATTTCACCACCACATCTTCGTCATCTTCTTCAACACCCAAATCCTCCAATAACTCACTTATTCCAATTCTCAACTGTGTCTTTTTCACCTTCCCACCATCACCGCTATGTCCGTTCCTGTGCTTATGTGGCACGTTCACAAAGCTACCGGCACACTCAGCTTTCTCAGCCCCACCACCAGCCGCTGCCTCCTCATCCTCATCGTTAATGAACACATCAAACTTCACAAACTCATCTCTATTGATTTCTATCCCTTCTATCACCAATACTTCTTCTTCCTCCTTCTCTCTTTCCTTCTTTGCTGGCCTCGCCACCATCACCGTCGTTGGTTTGTCTAGACTCATCGGAAAAGTGGCAGGTGTAGCTGGTATTCCGGCCATGTCGGGTTTGCTAAAAAGAAGTTAAAGAACCTTGTGATCAATGCAGAGAGCTTTTCATTTCTGCTAAATCTTTATAATAAACAGATGAATTAATCTCATCTATTATCATTGGCTATAGATGGAGTTTTTTAATTTTTCTTTTTTTTCATCTTTTGTTTTATTTTTTATTATTATTTTCTTTTTTTGTAATTTGCGTGACAGACGGACAAACACACCAATTGCAATTTTTGCGTAATTTATGTGAAATACACGTGTGTAATACGTAGTTTCTTAAAGTATGCGATTATGATCTTATCCGTAATTGATTTGGTAAAAAGGTGGCGTCAACAAATTAATAAATGAACTCGTCAATGAAGTAATCTGCTTTTTTCTATAGAAATAATATTATGGAAATATATTAAAATAACTAACCCAATTGACATTTGACTTTTGTCTTATCGGAAATCTTCGGCGCCTATTTGGTACACAAGTTCGAACTAATTTATAAAATTAGAATGTAAAATTAGTGAAAACTAAGTTTTACTGATAAAATTAAAGAAATTATAATTATTTAAATTACATTAAAATTTGTGTGTAGAGGACTTGATAATTACATTAAATTACGTTATCCATATCATCCCACATATATACCGAAAAACATGCCCCCTACCCCCATCCACAATGATACGCATATGCATTACCTAAGCCCACAAGCTTAAAATGATGTCAACCCCAAGCTACACCTGGGTGTCCAAAAATATTCATACCCGAAAATCCAATTCAAAATTTTAGAAAATTGATTTGAAAATATTTGAAAATCTAGATATCTGAAATTCGGATATCAAGTTATTCGGATTCGGATACGAATAGTGATTTCATAAAAGTTCGGATAGTTCGGATATCCGACATCTGAAATCTATATATTTGCTATTTTTAAATAATTTTCTAGTTTGAAGGATCCACTTTAAAAAACTCAAACCCAAAAGGGACGTTATTGGTACTTGGTAGGGTTAGGACACAAATCTTGAAATCTCAGTTCTTTCCAAACCAAAGCGATCAATTCTCCTCGACCTTAAGACTTTCACTTGTCGAATAGAAAGATCTTCAACTTTTCCGAGAGTTGTTGACACTAGATACAAACCTTCACAATTACTAAGTTCTCATCTTCTTCCAAAGCAACGATCGAATAAAAGGATATTCCCCTTTTCTGAGTTCGACTCATCCCATTTTTTAACGGGTTAATTGCTAGTATAATACATGTCTACACACGTTATGTAATGCTTTTCTTTTGTTTTGTTACTAGTCTACTACTATACATGTAGCTATACGTTTTGTAGCTATATGTGTAAACAAATAAACATGATAGATTCTTAAATGATACTTGAATGTAGTTGATTGTTTATGGACTGCTTTAACTCCAAGAATGGTGGAAGGATTGGTGTGTATACAAGATTGGACATGTATTTTTTATAATTCAGGTATGGTTGATTATCTACTACTTGAAATAGAGAAAATCGAAGAAGGTTAGATTTGTGTAATTGTACTTGTGTGTATTGAGTTTCTTTCAATATATAATTTTAATGTTTTCTTTTTATTGGAACAACCAATTATCATTATTGATGATACGGTTGTAACACCCAAAGTTTGGAAAGCCAAGAAAAGAATGAAAACCCCAATTTTAAGGGGAGACTCGGCGAGTCCAAGGAGGGACTTGGCGAGTCCGAGCGAGATACGGGTCGAGGTGCAAGCGACCGACTCGGCGAGTCGGCCAAGGTGACTCGACGAGTCTGGTCTGAGCAAGGAAAACCCTAAATCCGGGACTTGGAGCTTATTTAAACATCTCATTCTCTCCCCTAGGGTTCCTTTACTGCCTCTCTAGCACAGAACAATAAACCCTAGCCGCCATAATAGTTTTGGAGCAAGATCTAACCCTTGGTGAAGCTCTTTGGAGCTTGAGAGAGAGGATAGTCATTGTGGAGTAAGAAGGGGGCCTTGGATCCAGAGTTGGTGGAGCATTTCTGAGCATTTAAAGGTAATAAATTGTTACCTTCCCTCTTTTGTTTAATAGATCAACCTTGGCTATGAGATTTGGAGCTTTTATGCCATGCTTAAGAACTATTTCGAGTTAGAAGCCCATATCTGAAGTTACTACTTCAGATCTGAGTGTATCTTGGCCTAGAAAGTCATAAAGCATCTATTCTTGGGTTGATAGTGAAGCCTCTTTGTCTTAAACCCTAGTTTGGATTGTTTTAAGCCTAGATCTCTTGATCTACACGTAAAGTTTTCCACTTTACGTGAGGGATAGGCCCTAGAAGTATGGATCTATGAGTTGGAAGCCCTGTTTGGCTCGAAAAGCCACTGCATGGATTAAGGACTGAATAGACTCGGTGAGTCCTTTGAGTGGACTCGACGAGTTGGATGAACAACTCGGCGAGTCTGTTGAAGATTGCCTTGGACTCGGCGAGTCTGCTCTTGGACTCGGCGAGTCAAGTCGCGAAACCCCAAACCCTTCGAGTCAAGGCTCAGTTTAGTGAGTTGAGTGGGGACTCAGTGAGTTGGACAGGACAAAACTCGGAAATCAGTGAACTCGGTGAGTCAGTAGGCTGACTCGGCGAGTAGGGTCAACATGGAAGGTTGACTTTAGCCAGTACTTTGACTTTGATCAGAGTTGAGTTAGTTGACTTGTAAAACCCAGTTTATTTATTAGTTAAATAAATAAATTAATGAACGAATGGTAGCCTAAAATAAATAACTATATGCAGGGTGTTGGGTTGGAGGAGTTAATTTCCACATTTCTATAAGTCGGGGGTTAATAGTGTGTGTTTGGGAACCATTTTATAAATATTTATGAAGACAGGGACTCCGTGGTAATTACTTGGAATTAATTTTAAAAAGGAAATGAGGTGGAGAGGTCGATTATGTTGTAATTAAGACTATGGGGCTGTTTGGTAATTTAAGGGTCGAATTTGAAAAGGATTTCCGAGGTTAGGGTAGAAAGGGTAAAATATGGCCTCATTTTGAAAGAATAAGAAAAGGGAGGGACCATGGGGGTTTTTATGGAGAAACGTTTGATGGGCTACGGGAGTATAAAACCCATCGCATGATAACCCTAACCCTGGCATGAAGGCAGCCGCCATCATCGGAAGATCTCCAGCAGCCAACCTCACCTCTTCAACTTCCAGCCGCCGGAGCCAATTCCCCTACGTCGGAAAGTAAGCAAGGTCGTTGAGGTTGCTGTTGTGGATCGTCGCTGCCACTCATCGGGATGTTA